TTAGGTTAGAGCTTAAATTGAGAATTTAGAACAGGGAAACATTGGCAAGAGGAAACAGCTTCCTTTGTTTTCATAATAGGTCTGATATACTTTTACAGCAATTGATATGCTGGAGAGTGAAGCCCAGGTTATTCTTCCACTCACCCTATGTTGGACAGTAAGCCTTGTGCCTGGAAGGAGATTTTAAAGTTTGTTCGCCATTTGGCGGTGCTGTTAGTGAAATTAATTTACCTGGCCTTCAGGCAATTTAGAAGGGGGTGGGGTAGGTGTGGTTCCTGGAGCTTGCTGCTTATCTCACCCTAGAGACTGAATCAAGAACTTGAAGAGTTTAAGTACCAAAGTTTTTAAAAGCATGTTATAACACAAAATCACAGTAGTTATTGTAAAAGTTACTTATTTAGCCAAAATGATAGTCCAACGATTTTGAAAAGAAAAAAACCTCGCTTTTTGTAACAAAGACAGTGGGGGAGGGCTAATTGAATTTTGTCTCTTTTTTTCCCCCCTCTGTTGTTTAAAGGAGAAAAATTATTTTGGAGATTGTTAATTAAGAAGCTCATGTTCTAGTCTTTGAGTAGCATGTAGGCCTACTATTAGTGTAATTGATATTAATGGTAAATTTATGGAACCTTTTTGAAGTCTGAGTGTTTATAGAATTTCTTTTACTTCTTTTCACAAACTTTTACCTACCATGTTCGATAAACTCATACCATTTTTTGACATGCTTAAACCTTCTATTTTTGTTCTATACTTTCTTTAACCAGCCATTTTATTATAGAAAAAAATGTACCATACAAGATTCTTTCCTATATAGTTATTTATCTTTCCTTTATCCTTTCTTACTAAAACATGCCTTACACCAACAACTTTCTTTACATTTTTCCTAACCTCAGAGCTCTAACCAAAGCAATAAGTTTATATGCAGTGGAAGGGCTTAGATAGAATCCAATGTAGAATTATTAGGGGAATCCAAAGTTATACAAAGGCACCCAAAAGGTACAGTGGTGATGGCTCAGGGTAAAGAATAATATGAGTTTTAATTTTTGTCATAATGTCCCTTTTTAATAATGGAGCTGGACACGTTGGCATAATAAGGAGAGAGTGTTGAAATATTTTATTTCCCAGAACACATGGAAGTAATGGCGTAGTGAGGGGCTTGGATATAATGACCTGTACCCCCACAACCAAAAGGGGTGAAGGAAGGAGTGGACCAGGAAATTTAAGTGGAGCTGAGCATGTAGCCCCGTATTAATAACAAATAGCTACTGATATTTCCACCCTAGGCTTGGTTGGTTTAATAGTTTGTTCCAAAGACATTGGGGCTACCAAGTTAGGGGCGAGTCAATCTGACTGGAGCAAGCCCAAGAGATCCCCCTTTGAGATCGTGTAAGATGCCTGATGTCCCTTAATTGCAGCAAGCCTCTGGGCCATGTGCTCTCCTCCGGCTAGGTGAACGAGGCAATCATGAGCCCATTGTCCATGCAGTTTGCATTTGGGACAGGGTTTTGCCAGTGGTGGGGCTTGACAGTCTTTGGCCATATGCCTGTTTTGACGGCGTCAGAAACAAACCTGGGAAGGGGCTGTGTACCCTTTCTGCTATCGATGATCTGGGGTGGAAGATTATCAGAGGTGACTCTCCCTGCTAAAGTGGTAGATAAAAGCTGAAACGTTTCCCGCTTATGTTTGTGGTCCTGCATTCTTTCCTCCCCCTGGTTGTTAAAGACTTTAAGGCCATGTCCAATAGTTCTAGTTGAGGGGTTTGTGGGCCATTCTCTAATTTTTTGGAGTTTATGCCTAATGTCCGGTGTTGACTGGGAGAAAAAATACATAGCCAAAAGAGTTTGTCCCTCCACAGAGTTTAAATCAATATTAGTAAACTGCTGCAATGTCTCAGAGAGATGACTTAGAAACATTGCTGGATTTTTATCTGGTTTTTGAAAAACTTCTTTTATTCTGTCCTAGTTAGCCTGTTTATGAACACCTTTTGTAGTTAGTAACAGGATTTATTTACATGATCCCTTTACTTTTGTCTGGGAAGAAGGTTGATATAGTCCCAGTTTAGATATAACTTGAGAGAAATTTATCATAAGAAAACAACAAAGAAGAAGTTTTTTAACATTCTTTTGTCCCAGCCACCCCCCTTGAGAAGAGACCTATTAAGCCATGTGGAAAGTTGAATGGGTTTTTTAAGTAGGGGAGGGGGGTGAGAATAGTGGAGGCTGAGGTCAGCCACCTCCTCCAAAGACAAAAGAGAAAGGCTGGAGGCCAGAGTTAGGTGACCCGGCCAGAGATGCCAGCCCCTCCTCCAAAGACAAAAGAGAAAGGCTGGAGGCCGGGGTCAGGCGACCTGGCTGGAGACGCCAGCCTTTCCTTCTCAGGTAAAGGTGGAGGGTGAGAAGGAGGAGAAACTGATGGAGAGTGGAATAGCAAAAGCAGACTACAGGAAGTTTATCTGCTGGGTTGAAGTCAGAGATAGAGGAGGGAGGTGGCGGCGTAAGTGGGATAGGGAGGGAAGGGGAATCTCTGCCCACCATTTTGAACACTCACAGAAATTATATAAGTCCTGGATGATATCAGGATTGAGGGACCCCTAAGGGGGCCACTGATTTTGGTTGTCTAAGGGATATGGCCAGTCCTGTGTGCAGAGGCGAAGTAGGCATTTGGGCTTGATATCAGGGGAGAGAGAAAGTGTAGTGAGATTATTTAAGAGGCATTTAAGAGGGGAATCAGCCGGCAGGGATGACGAGCCTCCCATGGTGGGACAGGTGGACTAAATGGGGCGTCCCCCGAAGAGTCAGCTGTCCAAGAAGTGTGGCTGTGGCAAAGTCTGTCGTCACAGAGGTTTGGCACAACCAGGGCTCTCCTGGAGAACTGAGGGGGTCAAGGCACCTTGTGCAAGGATTTTTGAACCAGACAGAAAGCACTTGACTGGGCGGTGGGTGGGAGCGTGCTTGAGATTCCTGTCGGTCGAATAGGGCTTACTGTGGGGCAATAGACGTGGAACCTCCGAGGTTCACTACTACCCGATAGATGTGGGAGCCCTCTGCAATCCACTGTGGGCTAGCTGACGTGGGACCCCTGGGGTCCACTGCAGCCTGACAGCCGTGGGAGTCCTTAAGGGGGGAGAGAAAGAGAGTCTTACGGAAACCGCTGTGAATTAGCAGACATGGGACCCCCGGGGCCTGCTGCAGCCAACAGCTGTGGGAGTTTTTAAGGTTTGAGAGAGATGAAAGAGAAGAGGAAGACTTTAGGGTCCGCTGTGGTCGTGAAGGCCAAGGCAGGGTGTGTTCCCCCTCACCCGGGGGCCAGAGGGACTGCTGGATGATCAATGGTCAGTTTCCTCCGGGAGTCCCGGGCAAGTTTAGGCTTCTGTGTCTGGGGAGCTCACCTATCCAACAACCGCTGGTGGATGTAGCTCACACGTTCAAAACAGTGGGGAAGGTCCGGGAGGGCTGGAGTGGCCACCGGCGCAGGGTTGGGGATCCCTCCTATGGGGATAGACCCACACAAGGGCGGGAGAGCACCTGATCCATGTCATGGCACCAATGAAGGAATTTCGGTGCCAGTAACGACTCTGCACCTGGCCGGGACCAAGAGATTTATTAAAGGGGCTGTTACAGAGAGGGTCTGTAACCGAGAAAAAGCAAGAGAGAGAGTGAGAAAGAGAGAGGGGGAGAGAGGGCGAGAGAGAGGCGGGGAGAGAGAGAGAGCAAGAGAAAGAGGGAGCAAGAGAGAGTTATGCAGGGAGAGGGGTGTATTTATGGACTTGGCAGGGGCCTGAAGGGGCTGTGCTAGGTTCTTATTGGAGGAGCAACATGGGAGCAGGGTGGGTATAACAAAGCTAGCTATGTCATGGGAAATGATTGGAGGCTTGCAGGTTTGAACTCGCACGTGAGGGGAATCGTGCATGAAGAAGCCAGAACCTAGGGTCTTTGTTGTCTAGTGTGGCTTTACCATGTTTGGCGCCATTTTGGGAGCCGCCCCTCTGGCTGTTTCCTGTACCCTTCACTCTTGCTTTGGCCTCCCAAAGTGCTGGGATTACAGGCTTGAGCCACTGTGCCTGGCCAGGTTTTTTATTGTTAATCTGAGGGTATATAGTCCAAATACTGTGATCAAAGGTTACTTGGGTGAGTTCATCCCCCCTTCTGTGTATTATCTTATTCATTTAAAATAAAAGCACTTTTGGCTTCTGTTTTTGTATTCAGGTTTTGGGATTTTCCTGTCTGTGTGGATTTTATTTAATGTTTTTATTATATTTTATTTTATATCTTTTTTTGTCTTTCTTGCCTGCCTTTCTTTCTTCCTTTTCTTTCATTCTTTCTCCCTCCGTCTCTCCCTCCATCCCTCCCTCTGTTCTTCCCTCCCTTTTTTCCTTCCTCGTTGAGGTCTCTGTTGCCCAGGCTGGAGTGCTAGTGACATGATCACAGCTCAACATTGCCTCAAACTCCTGGGCTCAAGCAATCCTCCCCCCTCAGCCTTCCAAGTAGTTGGGACTACAGGCATGCAGTGCCTTACCTGGGCTAATTTTTTGATTTTGGGTTCTTACTGTGTTGCCCAGGTTGGTCTCTAATTCCAGGACTCAAGTAATTCTCTTGTCTCTGCCTCCCAAAGTGCTAGAATCATAAATGTGAGCTGCTGCAACTGGCCTAATTTTCATTTTATTCAGTATGTGAAACATGCTTTCAAAAATGGAATCTCTATCAAAAAGGTGTTTTCAGAAAAGTGTTCTTTCCCTTCCCGTATTCTCTGTCTCTTCTTCCCAGCTTTCACTCTCTGCCTTTGGTAATAAATCTCGTTAATCTCTGGATTTCTCTTCCTATTTTTCCATTTGCTCAAATGGGTATATAAACATAGATTTTCTTATTTCCCCTTTTTTCTTACCCCAATGTATAATCCTATAGATTTCTCTTTTATACTTTGCTAATCATAGAAGTTTAAAGCTGAATCAGACCATATTGTTGTATAATATTATGGAGATTGTTTCCTCATTTTTTTTCTTTTAGACATTGGACCAGCAACAATTCTTCACAGAGGAAGAACTAAAAGAATATGAAAGTATTATTGCTTTGCAAGAAAATGAACTGAAGAAGAAGGCAGACGAGCTTCAGAAACAAAAAGAAGAGCTACAGCGTCAGCATGACCAGCTTGAGGCCCAGAAGCAGGAATATCATCAGGTGGTATTTGGTATAAAGATTATGGTGTTACCTAACCCTTAACTGTACCCCACAAAACCATAATAAAAAATAATGATTAATGAAAAAAAAAAAAAAGATTATGGTGTTAAAAGGATATCAGGTGCTTTGCTGACAGCCTGTGTTTTTGCAATATAATATTTCAGTATACTACAGTATAAGGCTATGGTTATATTATTTTAAATTTTAGTATTTTTGATACTGTTGTATGGAGCAGTAATCTAAATTATAGAGTTTGAATATCTTTGTTTTAGCAAACTATTATCAGTTTGCTTGTTGTGCTTTGTCAAAGGTCACATGTGTGACAGAAAGTCCAGTAGCTTTTTTTTTTTTATTTGGTGTCTCACTCTGTCACCCAGGCTGGAGTGCAGTGTCATGCTCATGACCACAGCAGCCTTGACTCGCTGGACTCAGGCAGTTGTTCCACCTCAGCCTTCCAAGTAGCTGGAACTACAGGCGTGTGCCACCACACCTGGCTAATTTTTTGATTTATTGTAGAGACGAGGCCTCACCATGTTGCCCAGGCTGGTCTCGAACTGCTGGGCTCAGGAAATCCTCTTGCCTCTGCCTCCCAGAGTGTTGGGATTACAGGCGTGAGCCACCACACCTGGCTGAAAATCCAGTAGCTCTTTTAACTGTCTTTCTCTATTCTCCAGGTCATACAACAGATGGAACAGAAAAAATTACAACAAGGAGTCCCTCCATCAGGGCCAACTGGAGCACTGAAGTTTGAGCCACGTATGTAATTTTGTCTGATTATTTGTTTAGGGAAATAAACTATTACATAAGTTAAAATCCACATTTATTACACATGTAATTTCATGTCATTAAGATATATGTTATTTTTATATATTTATAGAAACAGATTAATTTGAGTTACAGAAAAATTAAAATGTTCCCCAAAGTTTTATGTATCAGCATATTTCAAGTGCTATCTAATTTGATAACCACATTTATGGTTAAATGATTTATTTCAACATTATTTGTATTCTAATCATTTATAGTACTGTGAACAGAGTATATGTTTTTGAAAATTGTAGTGTATGCTTAGCTAGGCATATTTAACAAGGCAAATTTATCTGTTATGAAAAAATATGCAGAATAAAGGAAGATATCTTTAAAATAAGAGCATATTTCTTTCCAACAGATATTTAAAGTCCGGAGTCTGCCAGAAGTTGGAAGAAAGCTGTTAATGCAACATCTGTTCCATTTTTTTAAAGCTCCTTTCCAATTTCTTTGCTCAATAAATATTTTAAAGCATATTTGGAATAAAGAAGGATACCTTTGAAACGAGAATGCATTCTTTTGGCCACAAATATTTAAGGACTGAAATCTACCATAAATAGGAAGAAAACAAGCTCACTATCTTCTTTCACATTCATACTTCTCTTCTTTTTTCTTTGTTCTCTTTTAGTAACTTAATGATGTCGCCTTATACCATAATTTAATGAAACGATCAGTAACTAAATGAGAAAACTCTGCCTACTGCCTTTAAATTAGATTGTTGTCATTCATAAAGACAGATATTCTTTTATGGGAGCTTACCATCCCTTCTCTCAATAAACGTCTCTTTAATATCATTCTTCTGAAAGGACCATAGCATTTTCTACTTTTTCCTACTTTTGTAACAAACTTAACCTCTAGAAATTCTTCAACTGACTAACTTTTCTGCTACTCAAGCTCATTATTTATTTATTTATTCTGGGCTTTGGAGTTTATTATTGAAAGTTAGATTCTGCTTCATATAACAAAACCCAAAGATAACAGTGGTTTAAAAGAAATAGGAGTTTTTTTCTCTGATGTAAAAGAAATCTAGAAGTCAATGATATCCAGGCTCCTATGTTTCTGCTCTGCTTTCCTAAATGCATAATTTTTATCCACTCGGTACCTCACTCTCGCTCTCTAAGATTCTGCAGTGAGGAAGGCAAGAAAGGGACTTTCCCTGCTTGACTCAGCTTCTGTGGAGGCAGTTTACCAGAATCAGCACCCGCATGAACTTCCCTCTTATTGGCCAGAACTGAGTCACATGGATAGAAACACTTAGTAGCTATGGAGACTGCAAAACCCACCTGTCAGTGTGCTCAGCTCAAAGTTAGGATTCTTTTACTGAGGACGAAGGAAGATGGATGTTTGGCAGCCAGCTTTCAGTTGAACACCAATTAGCCTTGTTGGCTACCCAAGTCTCCATGTACATTCTTCTTCTGAGACAGAAAAACACTCACTCCTCCCTTCCCAAAGAGAGGGCAGAAAAACTTTAGTCCATTATTTCATATTAGCTCAAAGACCATGTTATCTGGGGATAGGCCCCTCCATCAGACTAGCACATGACTTCTTGTGTTCTGGCCACCTGTGTTCTGGCCACCTACAAACTCAAAGTCAAGCTCTCTGCGCAAAAGTACCAAACTCATAATGCATAGGTATAGGAAAACTGCAATCAAATGTCCCTTTTAGAAAAGGGGAGAATCAAACATAGTGGTCATTGATCCATAGGAATTTAAAAGTACTGCTGGCCGGGAGCGGTGGCTCACACCTATAATCCCAGCACTTTGGTAGGCCGATGTGAGAGGATTGCCTGAGACCACGGATTTCAGACCAGCCTGGGCAACTTGGTGAGACCTCATCTCTACAATAAATCAAAAAATTAGCTGGACGTGGTGTTACATGCCTGTAGTTCCAGCTACTTAGAAGGCTGAGGCAGAAGGATCACCTGAGCCCAGCTAGTCGAGGCTGTGGTGGCCGTGAGCATGCCACTGCACTCCAGCCTGGGCAACAGAGTGAGACTCTGACTAAAAAAAAAAAAAGTACTGCTTGGTGAAAATAGTGAAGTCTCTCTGCTGTAGGCCATGGGTAGATTTCTGGTTTGCTACTCAGTCAGCCCCAATGAGAGGAACTCTCTTATCTAATGTCCTCAGGGGCCTTTGGTTTCACTCTCTGGGCGATTTTTATTGTACATTCATTTTCAAGGACACGTTTGAATGGGTGTTGTAAGGTATATCCTTCTTGGAGGCTGGATAGCCTTAGCATTGACTTCCTTTTTCTTCTTGAGTCGAGGTCTCTTTCTGTCGCATAGACTGGAATCCATTGGCATGATCACGGCTCTCTGCAGCCTGGAGCTCTTGGCCTCAAGCAACCATACTCCCTAAGACTCCTAAGTAGCTGGGACTCCAGGCACGCACCACCATGTCTGGTTAGTTTTTGAATTTTTTTTGTAGAGAGAAGGTCTCGCTATGTTGCCCAGGATAGTCTTGACTCTGAGGCTCAAGTAATCCTATCTCCTTGGCCTCTCAAAATGCTGGGATTACAGCATGTGTCACTATGCCCTGCCCATTTTTAAACTTTTTTTATTTTTATTTTTTTGAATTGGAGTCTCACATTGTGACCCAGGCTGGAGTGCAGTGGCACGCTCACAGCCACTGCAGCCTCTGCCTGCTGGGCTCAGGCAATTCTTCCGCTTTAGCCTTCCAAGTAGCTGGAACTACAGGCGTGCACCACCACATTCAGCTAATTTTTTGATTTATCATAGAGATCATATTGCTTAGGCTAGTCTCAAATCTGTGATCTCAGGCAATCATTTCTCCTCTGCCTCACAAAGTGCTGGGATTACAGATTTAAGCCACCAGGACTGGCCCAATTACAAAAAAAAAATCACTGTAGCTCAGCCAAGAACACTTCTTGTTTTATGAACTTGAGGACTTGGAGTTTTTTTTAAATATTTTTTTTTAGAGATAAGGTCTTGTTCTGTTGCACAGACTGAGAATATATGTGGTGTGATCATAGTTTACCACAGTTTCAAGGGATCCTTCCACCTGAGCCTCCCACGTAGCTGGGACTACAGGAGCATGTCCCGAAGCCTAGCTAATTTTTAAACTTTTTGTAGAGACAGGGTCTCACTATGTTGCGCAGGCTGGTCTCATATCCCTGGGCTTCTGCCTTGACCTCCCAAAGAACTGGGATTACAGGTGTGAGCCACTGTTTTCAGCCAGAAATTATTTTAAATACCTAATAACTACACAATATTGCAGGCCAAGTTTGAATTTTTATTTTAATTGTTATTTTATTTTTTTCCTTGACTGAACCGTGCCTTAAAAACATAGTAAGTTTCTGGCCTGTGTTCTTCAGTCACACCCATGAGTAACCACAGTCAACACATAGTTTTAACATAGTTAAAAGACATCACTGTAAACAAAGAGCCTCATCATATACTTGCTGGCCTTTGTGCTGCTCCATTCCCTTGGTTCTTGGAGGAATGGTACCTACTTGAGATCCTTTCAGACAATAGTCTTGGTTGGGACAGTGAACGTCTTCATCTGGGCTCCTACTACTTAGCAGAAAGTTCTTAAGGGAAGGCTTTTGACAAATGTTGAGGAAGCGTTAGCAGCTCCTTCAGAGTCTGCTTACACATGCTTCTGTTTGGAGTACGTACAGTAGTAGTTGACTTTTCTTCATGACTCCAGTTTGGAATCTTGCCAGATTATGTTGCAGACAGAGAGCAGTTCCCTTGGCAATGCTATGTTCCCTTGAGTCTCTGCAGATTTGCTGACCTTAGCCTGGGTCACATTTCTCTTGAAGGGCTTTGCTGACAGAGGCAAGAAGCAGCAAACACATGCCAGCACTTTCTAGTTCTCCCACCACTGTCCCTGGCACCTTGGCCTCACTTGGTAGGAGGTCTCACTGCCTAAAGCTCTACCTCCTGAGCCAAGTCAACCCCGAATTTAGAGTCCTTTGAGTTATGGCACCTTACTTCTAGCCACCAAATTCTGGATAGCTTGAGAATCTTGGTTGTAGGGCATGGAAACTTCTTTAGCTATAAGCAGAAGGGGACTGATGCAGGAGGTGAGATAGCTCACAGAATCTTGGAAGGGCTGAAGAGACAACCTGGGCTGAGCTTCCAGGAACTATGGCACAAGAATGGATGGCCCAAGGAACTGCAGCTTTTGAGTACTCAAGAAGTTTCCTGTCAAGATGCGTGCTGCCCACTGGATAGGAGGCTGTGAACAGTGGCTAGCTGCAGAGCCACACTGCTTCCATCCACATCGTTCTGAAAAAAATGGATCTCTCTCTCCTTCCCTCGCCCCATGTGACTTGGTTTTGAGACAGTCTCATGTGCGTGCTTGTGAATGATTACACCGGTCATATCTGAATCCCTAGCTGCAAGAGATGTTGGGAAATCAGCTTTTCTACCTCTGTGTAATAGGAATGCATTTTTTTTCTTTTTTGTTTTTGAGTTAGGGTCCCACTCTTACCCAGGTTGGAGTGCAGCAGCAGGATCATGGCTCACTGCAGCCTCGACCTCCTGATACTATTGCCACAGACTCCTGAGTAGCTGGGACTGTAGGTGCACACCACTATGCCTGGCTAATTTGTGTGTGTGTGTGTGTGTGTGTGTGTGTGTGTGTGTGGTAAAGACGAGGTCTTGCGGTGTTGACAAGGCTGGTCTCGAACTCCTGAGCTCAAGTGAACCTCCCACCTCAGCCTCCCAAAGTGCTAGGAAAACAGGCATGAGGTACCATGCCTGGCACCCAAAATTGGTATAGCAGTTTAGAAAAGTTTTCCTTATACACAGTTTAAGAAAAGTCACATAAACCACTCAACATGGTAATAGAGACAAAGTAGAATTTGTATCTCTATTGTTTATAGGCTATGTAGTAAAATGGTTTGGAATATTCTCTTGTCGATGACTTCTTTCTGTGACCAGAAACAGGTAAGATAGACATTCTTTTGAAAAGGGTTTTAGATGAACTGCGGATAAATCAGAACATAATTAGAGAAGAGCTTAGAGAAATTTCTTTTCTTAGAGACAGGGTCTCACTCTGTTGCTCAGGCTGGAGTGTGGTGGCATAATCACAGCTAACTGTTATCTCTAACTCCTGGGTTCAAGTGATTCTCCCACCTTAAGTCTCCAAAGTTGCTAAGACTGGAGTTGGGACTACAGACACATGGCACCACGCCTGACTAATTTTCATTTCTTTTTTATTTTCAAGATGGGGTATATCTATGTTTTCCCTGTTGGTCCCAACTCCTGGTCTCAAGTGATCCTCCTGCCTTGTTCTCCCAAAGTGTTGGGATTATAGACATAAGCTACTGTGCCTGGCCAGAGCAATTTCTTAAAATAGTTTTTTGGCAGGAGTAAATAATAAGATGAATATTAATGTAGAAATATCTCACAGTTATCAGCAAATTATTGTAATTTATATTTCAGAAAATAATTATGAAATCTAAAATTACTTAAGGATTGAAGGAATTCCAGTTTTTGTGAATACTGGGCA